GCGAGGCCGGCGGGGGGCGTGGGCCGGGAGGCGCTCTGCGGCGGGGGCGGCCCCCGGGGGCCGCGCGGAGCGGCTCGTGGAGCGGCGCGGGGCCGGCGGAGTGGCGCCGGGCAAGATGGCGGCCCGAGGCGCGCCGTGCCCCGCGATGGGGCCGCCCCGAGAAGCGGCCCAGCGCCGCCCGCGGCCTGCGGGAGCCCGGCACTGCGCGGGCCGGCCCCGGGGCAGCTTCCTCCTTGCCCCGCGCCGCGCCTTCTCCCTCGTTCGGCGTTCCCGTGGCCGGCGAGACGAGGCAGCGCCGCGAGGAGCGGCTCCCGCCGAAGTGCCGCTGTTTACAAACACAGCTGTTGCGGTGTATTTGCAATGCTAAGGACGGAGCGGCGAACGAGGGCCGCTGCGGAAGAGGAGTCCCCGGCACGGGGAGGGCCGGGCGCTGTCCGGGGCCGTCAGCTCTCCCGGCCGCTATTGTGAGCGCCTCGTGCGAAACATCGCGGGCCTTCGGCGCGGGGCTCGCGGAGCCGCCCGGCAGTGAAAGGAGCGCGGGGAGAGGCCGGGCCGCGGCGCAGCGTTGTACCGTGAAGCGGCCGGGCGCGGGGAAGGCCCGGCCCGCGGCCCCGAGCCGCGGCCGCCCGCTCGCAGCGTGGCTGGATGGGGAATGGCGGAGGCTGCGAGCGCGGCTCTGGCTCGGTGGGCCCCGGCCGCTATTTCCTCTCCGTGGTCGCCCTTCTTTTGTACTTCGGAGCCGAACCCGGGGACGAGGCATTCCGTATTCTTTCACGTCGCCATCGCACCCGGGAAAACCACGGTTATGTGCAGCTGCCTCCCCGCACCGAGCATTTCCCCGCGCATCTCCCCGTGTAGAAAACATGCACTTTTTCTGCACCTCTTCCTTAACCGCTCACACGTGCTAACAGCGACAGACAAAACGTGGTAGCGTCGTTCTCATTTCTGCAGAACGCGTAATTTTATTAGCAACTAAATGTGGTGAAGGGAAAAGGATCCTTGCGAAAAAAAAGCACCGAGGGAAGAACAGCCAAGTTCACACCACAACACTGCCGCTCGCATCACAGCGCATGCAGCAGTGAAGGGAAGACCCACTGCAGGCAGTGCACGCTGCAACGCGAGGTGGTACGGCAGCATCCCCGCCGCCGGGGCTCGGCACGTGTTCCCTTCTCGGTGCTCGGCAGCGCTGAGCGCGGTCCCAAACTCCCTTTTGTCCTCGGCTTGGCCGCAGGCGTCTCCCCCACGAGCAGGGCAGAGAGCTGGGCCTGCTGTGTACCTGGGAGGAGCACGCGCGCTGCGCCACGTCGCTTTTCCTTTATGGTGTTCTGTGGGGTTTTGTGCACCCGGAGTGGGAAAATGGTGGCATTTCATCACTGAGACGTTTTAAATTTTCTCTGCCGTGAACATCATGACAAAACTGTGGCCCGGCCCATGAGATCACCTTCGTTTTTCCTCAAGTTATATTCAGGCAGAAACAGGTTATTGGTGCACAACGCAACGTATTTGTTTGACTTTGTATTAGTGAGGCTGGAATGGGAGCGAGCTCTGTCTCAGCACCAGTTACAGTGCCATCTCCAACAGCCGTCCGACCACCCGAACTGGGAGGAATGCCGTATTTTGCATCACAGTGCGTTACGTACCTGGTGATACTCCCGGCACAGTGACACCACGGGGCCCCATGAGCAGCACCAAGTGCACACGTGTGGCGATAGGGATGTGTGACTCGGTGCCTCCCGCTGCACCTTGGCCAGGCGCCATACGTCCCCGGCCCTGCAGGGCCTGTTTGGGATCAGTGAGTGTCTCTCTCCCCTCCCCCTCTCCCCCCCGGATTATTTCAGGAACCCAAAAAGGCACCTCTGCAATTTACAATTCCCAGCCACATCAGCACAGCGTAATTGGAAGTAAACAGGGTCAGGGGACAGAGCTCCTCTGAAAGTGATACGTTGTTTAATTGACACGGCAAAATTTTAGGCTTCCAGTTTGCATATTACATCTCCGCCGCTTTTCAATTTGATTTTTTTTTTTTTTTTTTTTTAGGCGCAGGAAGACCTGTGTCAGGCAGAGCAGAGCCGGGGCTTCCAGGGGTGGTGCGCTTTGACCATACTCTCTGGGAATAGGACCACGGTCTGCTCGGCCTCAAATGCACGCGGGTAAACACTCAGCCCCCAGCCACCCTGCGAGCCGATTTTTCACGACCATCGTAATTTCAGCAGTGCGGTTAAGAGTGCAGAGTACCTTTTGCAATTGGCAGCTCTAACCGATGCGAGCGTGCGGGGGAAGGGTAACCCCGCCGAAGGGCGATTGTTTACTCTCTCTAACTGTATTTGGTGCAGGTATTCCTAGAGCGGGGCTTTACAATGGGGGAAAAGGAGGGCGCGAAGATAGCGCGGAGCTGCGGGCGGTGGCGTGCACAGAGCCACGAGGGCTGCGGGGGGCACCACAAAGGCAGGGATGAAACAGCCGGGAGCGGCAGCGGATCGCCGGCAGAATGTTGACTTTGAGTCACACGGTAAACATTACGTTGTGGCTTTTTTTTCCTTTTTTTTTTTTTTTTTTTTTTTTTTTTCTTCTCCTTTTCTTTGATTTACGATAAATTATCCTCCCGAGATTGATCGATGAGTGGAATCCTTAACATTTAATTTAGGAATGATCTAGTATAAATAAAGCGCCAATCCAAAGAAAGAAACCAGCAGTCCTTCAGCCGAAACCCCGCTGATTCAGCACTCGGCCTTCCCGGGGCCGCAAACTTTTGGGCCGCTCTCGGAGCTGTGCCTATCCCCCCGCACCGGGGCCCTTCTGCAGCCCTCGGCCCCGGGCCCGGCTGCTGCGCGGCTGCCTTCCTTTCTTTTTTTCTTTTTTTCTTTTCTTTTTTTTTTTTTTTTCCCTTTTTTTTGGAGGGGCTTTGGGGGCAGGGAGGGAAACAGTGAACCTCTTGAAGCGTATTTCCTCGGAATCCAACCGGGAATCTCCCAAACGGAGGGGAAAGCGAGGATAAATTGCAATAATTCAAAGTGTAGGGAATCAGGAATTTTTAAACAGTGTTTTTAATTGAAAATAAAGCTAAAGCATGCTTTTCAACAGTGCAAATTTCCATCATTTTGATTTACCGCTTCCATCATCACAATATATTATACCGGCATGTCTCTCCGAGGCGAGGCCCTCGCCCCCGCCCGCTCCACTATTTCGATATTAAGTGCAAATAGAGATAATCGCCTCTGATTGTCACGTGCGGTAGAAACGTTTCTGCTACATAGAGAGGACGGCCTGGAAACAAAAACCGACAGCGCCGGGGTTCGGGGCTGAGGACAACGAGGCGGCAGCGCCCGAGTTCAGGGCCGCAGAGCCACGAGCAGCGCGGGGCTCACGTTTGTTGCGCTGTTCCCACTCCTGGCCCCTCGCTCCGCTCTCTCTGCGCCGCATTTACTGCTTCGCTATTTCCTGCGGCCCGCGCGGGGTTGCCCATAAATCGCCGCGGGCCGGGCAGGGCTCCGAGCGCCGTGCAAGTTTGCAGGGGCGCGTTCAGAGCGCAGCTCCGGCACGACGTGAGCGGGTAGCAGTAACCTTATTTAAGACCTCTGAGTGAAACAAAAAGGCTTCCGATCGCAACGAGGGGCTGTACGAGCGAAAGGACGCCCTTTCCCCGCGCTGCGATCCCCCGTTTCGTGCTGCTCTCTGCCCCCGCCTTCCCCAGGGGCTGAGCGCAGCGCTGTGGGCCCGGGGCACCGCACCGCACCGCTCCGAGCGCCGAGGTGCGGCCAGCCCTCCTGTGCGGCCGTGGCACTTCACAAACTTGAACTGAATTAACAGTTAGACTGCCATGTTCGAAATCTAGTGCATAAATTTAATGGCTCATTCTAGTATTTATTATTCAACCTTTTGACATTTATTTGCAGCAGTTGAATTGAGGTACTGGTGCATTATTAGCATTCAAACAGTAAAGTGTTCCAGCTCTACCGGCGTAACTGAGTTAAGTTGAGTCTTTGCCTGAAGTACTCTGTGGAATGTAACAAAAAACACCCAAACGTAACAGGGAAAAAAAAAAAAAAAAAAAGGAAAAGAAAAGAAAAACAACAACAACAAAAAAAGATCCAAACAAACCAAACCAAAACCACTGTTGGAACAAGGGAAGAAAATGGTAATCCGGGTTCTGTCTTCACAAACGACACGACGGATCCCAGCAGCGAGCGCTGCGCGGCGTTAAGGGCCGCACGAACCTTCCTGCCGAGCTCACGCAGCGCACAGCCCGAGAGGTGGTTCCAGCAAATATTTTCCAAAGTATTTTATTAATTAAATTTCCTGAATTTGTGGCTAGGTGGGAGAGGTATTGCAGAGCCGCCCAGCTGCCATTTCCACACGGGATGGGCCCTGTGAGGTGCTTGCGAGTCCTTAGTGGTGCTTAAGGAGTAAGCTGGCAACAAATCCCCGTCATGGCCAATAATTAGCGACGGTGGACAGGGAAAATTTGCCATGAAATTAAACGGCCTTTTCACCGCTGATGCTACATTGCCGGCTACCCTCCTGCGCCTATTGTTGGCCGTGAGATCGTCCAGTGTTCCTTCGGGCTCGGCTTTACCTGCGGGCCGCGGGCTCCGCGCCGATTTCAGATTTGGTTTCAGCGGAGGAGGCTGCAGCGCGGGCCGCTTGCCCAGAACCAGCGTCCTGTAGTTCTTTCTTACCCTCGCTCCAAATTTATACTCCCCATCCTCAGGTTTTGGAGTACCTAAAGTGCATGAGAGGCCCTGACTCTGAGTCAGCGGGGGGAAGGAAGTGGTTTCTTTCTCAGTGCATGCAGAATCCTCCCTGGCCGTTCCTAAAGCGTCCTGCTCGCTGCCCTCCGTCACGCCGCGACGCTCCTCCTCGGGATGATTGCACTCACACCGCAGCTCCTGAGGCGGAGGGTCGGGCCCGTCCTCACCGCTCGCCTCCTCCTCGGTTTTGATGCGGACGCGGTGCGGGAAGGGCAGCGCCTCGACCCCCGGCTCAGCGCTCCGCGGCTCCGCGGCCCCCGGAGAGGCGGCGTCCTCCGCGGGGTCGGTCCGTAACGAGGGCAAATCCGTGGCAAATTCAATACAATGAGGGATTTGGGAATCTTTTTCGGAATTCGCAGCCGCTGATGAAGAATCATTATTTAAGATCCTAGCAGCTATTGTATTGTTATCTGCACAGTGTGTAGTAGTTGCTGGAAGGCATTTCCTTGCCTCTCTGAGTATTCTTTGTTGTGGAAATGCATTGTTTGTCTTTGGGCTAGGTGAAGAGGCCCCCTTTGCAACGCAGTTAATTGTTAGGTCAGTACTCTTGGCGTTATTGGGAAATTCAGAGTGTGGGAATGTGATCTCGGCCGCCCTCCGCTCCCTTATCTCTGCGAAGCAGCTCCCAGGGCCGCCGGGGCAGCGCAGCGCTGGGCCCCAGCCGGGCCGGCCCCACTCCTCGGGCAGCTCCGGCTTCACGCAGCCCGCGGCGCGGCGGAGGGCGGGTGGCCCGCCGGGATCCGTCGGGGCCGGGGCCGGGGGCCGGGGGGCGGCGGCGGCGGCCAGATGGTACAAGAAGTTGGCGTGCACCACGGCGGGCGGGCTGCAGAAGCTGGTGCGCCTGAAGCGGATGCTCTGCACCGAGACCTGGCTGGAGACCGAGCTGGAGTCGGAGTCCGAGGTGCTGTCCTCCTCCTCCTCCTCCTCTTCCTCCTCCTCCTCCTCCTCCTCCTCTTCCTCCTCCTCCTCCGAGCTGCCCTCGCTGGAGTCCGAGCCGCCGCTGCCCTCCTCGTCCTCCTCCTCCTCGTCCTCCTCCTCCGAGCTGCCCTCGCTGGAGCTGGAAGGGCTGGAGCCGCAGTCCGAGTCGTGCGCGGCGCGGCCGGAGCAGCAGCTGGACTCCGAGTCGCTGCTGCCGCTCTCGGCGAAGGCGGGCGAAGGCGGCGGCCCGAAGCCGCGCGGCAGCGGCAAAGGCAGCCGCGGGGCGCCGCGGGATCGGCAGGGCCGC